AAATATAGTGTAATGCACAATAAGTATTGCAAAACTTAACACTAAAATTGTAACATACCACTAGATTAAATATAGGATAATTTAGCAATCTAATCATTATATGAATATTATAACTAAACTTAATTTTAGATTTTATAATGAATTATAGTTGCAAGTTTGCATAATTCAACTAACCCAAAAAAAAAAAAAGGCAATAATTTTTGTGATATGCTACTAGCTAGAATTGGAACTTAATCAATAGTGAATTTAAAAAACTTTGAAAGAGATTACTACTAAAAAACAAGGTATTAGCAAATAAGTATTAGCAACGTACGTTGACATGTATATGATAATTTAACATCGCTAACATGTATTAAATTGCTATGTGGATAACTACGTATGAACTTTCAAGTTTGAAAAGTAGCACATAGAGAGAAATATCAATCAATTATTCTTAGAAAATGTTGCAAACTGCCAAACTCTTTAACATCATATATATTAATGAGTAAGATGATTTCAAACTTTTTTGGATGGGTATCGTTCTTTAACTAGACATTTCCCCTACTTTTTTTTTTTTTGAAAAGCAAAGAAATGTTTTATTACAAGAGTACTGGGTGTACTCCAATCCTTTTACAGGAATCTATGCTTATTCAGCAACAAATTCCCCAAAATACACTTGACCTTGGAAATAATTGATGGTCCCTTCCTATGAATTTAGTTATTTAACCTGGTATTGTCGCCCTGTTTTGCCCTCTTCTTGCTATAGCACCTCTTAAGCAAGATACTGGGTCCTAGAACCAATCTGACAATGAGAAGAGGCAACTTTTCATTCTGCATTTCATCCAGTTGAAGATCCTTAGTTGTACCAATTCAAGCAGCCTGCTTTTATCTACGTCCATTCCATTAAATATCCTGTCATTTCTTGCTAACCAAATTGTCCACACAACTGCAAACCATATGCAGCTCTAGCCCTCTTTTATCCCTGTCATTTTGAGAGCCGTAGGGTGCTGTTGAAATACATTCCAACCTTCTTTGTCCAGCGTTGTTCTAATCCCCCACCACCTGAAGCAAGCATTCCAAAGGTCATATGCCACTTTACACAATGTGAATAAGTGGCTGGCTTCCTCTATTTGGTACTGGCAGAAGTCACATTTGCAATCCTCCATGTTTTGAATTATACCTCTTTTAAGTATATTGGCCTTTGTAGGAATTTTATCCTATAGAAGTTGCCATGAAAATGCTGAAACCTTATTGGGCACCATTATGTTCCGTACTTTTTGGAGAGTCACTCCTTTTTGTTCCAGCCTATGCTCCATTATAAGTGCCTTGTAAGCAGACCTTGTTGTGTATTCCCCGTTCTTGCTATGTATCCACTCCCACACATCAGTTTTTCCTCTTGTGATTATTGTTTCCTGAATTTCCTTCAAGAACTCTGATTCTTCTTGGTCTTCCCAACTATATAATCTCCTTGTCCACGGCAATTTCCATGTCCAGATGTCATTGCGCCACCATCCCATCTGTGAAACTTTATTATCTTTACTTATAGATATTAAGTAAAGCCTTGGGTATTTATTAGCCAATATTCCTCTCCCACACCAATTATCCCACTAAAATTTAATGGGTTTAAGTACCATTTTAGTCCCTCAACTTTACACTTTGGTACCAAAATTGTCCCTTACCTTTAAAAGGTACCAAAATTATCCTCAAACTTTCATTTTTGGTACCAAAATAATCCTTCCGTCAGTTAAATGACAGGTGTCACGTTAATTTGCCAGCAAATTTTTTTTTTTTTTGAAAAAATACTGATGTGGAAAAGATAACACACGAAAATTGATGAGATGGCACTTTATTTTGTTTATGTGGCATTTTTAATTTTAAACAAATAAATAA